CTTTAAGAAATACCTTGTCTTTGGAGTAAAAAATTCAAAGACATTTATTTAAGACTAGCTGTCGCCCACGACTCCGTCAGCTTGGTATTAACAAAAACGTAATTAGTAGCCTATGTGTTCTTCCAGACTATGTTCTACATGTATTACAAATTTCATGGAAATTCGTTGAGCCGTACTTAATATACCATCTAACAAGCATCCAGCCGTGCATCCAAACATACGCATTTATAATATTAGTAAGGTAACTAATCAACTTATGTAATCAACATAAATACTATTTATAGTAGCAGCCTGATTGTATGTTGGTATGATAAATTTCCAATCAATTTGCATTGTAAGTGTCAAATGAATTCACCGAAATGGGTAGGAAATAATTGTCCTCGACTGGACATTATGCGGTTCCTTATATAAACTTCCTGTAAGGTGTTCCTTCAGAACCGCGCGAGTTGGGGACAAGAGGGTTCGAGGGTGGACAAGTTCGAGAAACTTCTGTCATTTGAGAAAGTTTTAATTGTCGGAGTCGGGGTAGACATTTAATAAACGTAACGAACTAAGAAATATATTGTTCTGATTAATTATAAGTATTAATGAGGTAAAGATTCCTTCCTTTTCCTGCTCGTTATCTGCTTTGTTAGATCTAAGGAAGGAAAGAGACGGAAGAATTAACGACATTCTTTTGTTTTTAGACCGTTAAGTCATTTGTAATGTACAGTCAGCTGCATGAATATGTATACATTTATGAAAAAATTACAAACATGTATAAGGTCGTTGTCTCGTTGTATTCGTCAAGACCAAGTTTTCATGAATGGAAGCATAGTGACCGATTCATGTAAACATTTTTAAAACCAAAAGCGTATACAAATTTATGAAGCATTGTAAATGTATATGTGCAGCTGACTGTACAATGCAATATTGGTTTCAAATCATAAAAGACTGTTATACTCGTAAGAACAAACAGATAAATTATACTGAAGCAGAAAATATTTATAATAGTTACTACTATATTTAAATATAAGACCTCGTTCTGACTTTCTTTACCAAAAAATTTTGCACAAACTAGGGTAATTAAGCTACATATATGAATAAAAGTTAAAAATATGTAAATCGCTTTTAAACTTCCCACTATTTACAAATTCAAATGAGGGTGTTGCGAAGTGAAGTTTTTTTTAAATCGTCGGCACAGCGGCAGCGCCACCGGCTGTTAACCTATTTCGTGACTTTCGTGTTTCACAAAACTAATCGTGGAGTGCGACTTTTTAATCCCTTTTTACTGTCGTTGTTATATATTTTACTAGTATTTTTGATATTATTTTGAAAATACTAGATTAAACTATCAGATATTACTTTTTAAGCGTCATTTGGGGAAAAGTCTGACACTGATATATTTTATTACGAATTAAAAATGTTTACTTAATTTCTCATTGCATTTCTATTTAATATAACCAAGGTAAATTCTATACTATTTTCTTAAAAAATACTTAAAATATATGCAAATTAAAAATAGATGGCGCTATAACTAAAATTAGGTTTCACCCTTAACTGAGTCGTCGCGTAACTATGCTGTAGAGTAGAGGCTGTGTAAGGCTTTGAGGGGCCATTTGCTGTACAAATTTTATTAGCGAGCGTAGAACCGGCGGTGTAATGGCCGCTCTAATGGCGATGATGATGAAACTTAGCTACTAATATACCCTCATAGACATTTTAATTTGTTAACTTGCGCTCTATAAGGGGTTACTTCATATTGTCTATGAGAAAATTTTCATTTAATTTAGGAAACACTTGGTTAAGCGAATATTTGGTAATAAATCATGTATTATAAATGATTGGTTGTATACTTTACTAGCTGTAACCCGTTACTCCGTCTGCGCGGAATTAAATAAAAACTAATAAGTAGCCTATTTCTTCTTCCAGACTATGTTCTACATCTATGCCAAATTTAATAGAGATCCGTTGAGCCGATGTAGAGATACCTACTAACAAACATCCATCCAAATATTCGCATTTATAATATTAGAAACATTGTATGAAAGGAATAATGTAAGAATTTACGATTTAAAATATTAAAACTTTCTATATACTTACGCAAACTAAATGCTAATAATTTGAAACGTTAATATGAAAATTCCTTATATAAAAGTCCTTGTAAAATATATTTTCTACATTTTACAATATAAAAACTGTTATTTGCAAATTTGAAGTCTTGTTATTTTGCTCTATCAAATTATCTTGCATGCAGCTAGTTTGGACGGTAATTTGCCGACATTTTCACGTTGAACTTGTTGGGTAACGTAAAATTACTTGATTTGAAATTACAGGCTGTTTAGATAATTATGTGGTTTTCTCCTTCACTTAAGTAAAATGAACTTTGTTCCATATTCAGAATTAACTGGTAGAACAAAAAAAGGAGGCGATATAAAAAAGTTGCAGGAGTGACTTGATAGTGAGTAGAGTAACTTGAAAAATAAATGTATGAAAATATTTGAACGAAACGAAACTAAACAAAATCCAATTGTAGTTACATTTCACTTGCAATTTTAAATACAGAACTATTTCAAGTACTTTGTAATGGGGTTTGAATTAAAGATTACTTTTTTATAAACCAAAAATTGATCTTTAAAAAACCTTGTACTAAAAAGCTCTATTACTCATTAAGTCATAATTAAGCTTTTAAGCATTAAAGGTTTTTATGTCAATAACCCAAGCATTTAGTAGGAGTTGCAATTAAATTCCTTTGTTACTTAAGTCCTACAAGTAGAGAAAGGCTTAGCACTGCATGTAGGTCAGTTAAGTCAAAGGTGTACAAAGAAAGTGCTTCTTGGCTGTTCTTTTTATATTATACGCTCCTGTAAGTCTAAAGGAGGTTGTTAAAGAATAGGCTAGTTATATGTTAATTGCTGGTTCAAACTGTTCCGCATAAGTTTTTTGGTCACATTATTGTTATAAATGCGAAAGTATAGATGGATGGATGTTTTTCAGAAGCTATCTCTATAACCACTAAACGGATTATGCTGAAATTTGGCACAGATGTAGAGCATAGTCTGGAACAGTACAGAGGTTATTTACTAGGTTTTACAATTCTTCGCGGACTGAGTCGCAGAGTCATCTATTTAAAGATAAAAATGAATTGCAAATTTTTTGACAGTTACGATGACAAAGACTTATAAAGTAGAAGATTACATTTGATTTACATATGAAGTAAAAGTTACAGTAGAGTTATGGATATCAAATGATTAATAAAACATACGACTTGTGCGTCGTGTCGTGCAAATTCAGTCTGGATTTCAAACTGCTGGAAACCTAATGTTATAACAATTTGCATAAACACATTTCAGTGTTCCGAACACGAAATTGTGCGGTGTTCTAAATTATATTGCTACAGTCGACAACTTGTGTTCTGTATTAGTGTTGCTTTAATTGCATTTGAATGTTTGCGAGCTTTATCTCGGTTATCACAAAATAATAACAGTATTGTGATACAAAGATTATGTACGTAAATGAGAAAATTAACTTATATTTGGTTATTTATTTAAGAAAATGGTGAGGATTTTATGTGTAAAGTTTTATTTGAAGTGCGCAAAAAATGTAAATAAGCTTAGAAAAACAAACCAATTTGACTCAATAATTATTGGTTTATAATTAGCGTTTTTTCAGTAATTATAACTATTTCTTTGCAATATTTCTACTGTACATTGATTACAAGAAAATGTATGTAAATATTTTAAAAAATGTTATAAAAGCGTAGTTTTTTTATCTGCCACAGAGAACGGAATGTAAATGTTAAATACTTAAAGTGAATTAAAGATAAATCTTTTACTGTATTTTAAATTACGCTCGCTATCTCTGGGATTTGCAGCGTAATCCGCGCTAATGCTTTTAGGTAGAAAATTAAAATTAACCTGACGAACACGAGTGTGTTAAATGTCACACACAGACACTTTTTAATAAAAATAATTTTACTAACTCTACTCAATATTACGTATATAATTTCCAATTAAACTTCTTAGCATGAGATTCGATTGCTGTTAAACTCATCACGTGCCGTCGCCGCTTATTCCTGTTTGCAGTGGAAGCCCACGTTAAAACATTCGGTGTGTCACTGCTTTAAGCCGCAGTCTATTAATGAATTAAAACCTCACGGGGAATATTTCACTTATTTTTAATTAAAAGACTTAATCCTCTTTTGAAATACCTTTGAGTCGCAAATGTCGTGAATGAGAAAGTCGACGCGGTGGCATTTTGAATTTTCGAAGCGAAAGAATTGGGTCGGGGGCTCGAGGAAATGTAAATTAGCCGCTTAAAAAAACAGCATTTTTTTTAGACAAGATAAAATGTTTTCTATTGCAGATGTTTTTAAATAACGATTTGTGTTTGATGTGAACAGTTTAAAATAATTAGGCCAAGTATTGAGTTTTGTTTTAACTTTTTAAAAAGAGAACTCATGTTTGAAAACGCACCAATACGTGATAAAAAAAACATTGATGGAGTAAATTGTCGTTCAATTACAAAGCGTATTGCACACGAGCGGTCGTGCATTCGGAAGCCACTTGACAACGGACGAACAAATTAGCCGCGACCGACAGAGGGCGCTTGACCTGGCAAACTAATTGTCCCCGCGCCTCTCGTGTGACATCCCCTTTACAATTACGTGCGGCGTGAGAGGACTTATGAATAACAATGAACCTAAATCGTTTCAACTCAAAGCAAAATTAAATTACGATTAATTTGGAATTGAAACTTATCCGTACTAAGCTTTACCAGCTGCCGTCAACTAAATATATTATAAACTAACTTAACAGATAAATATTGTCCCCTTTTCTTATACAACCCTACTTTACCTAATTTAATTCATCCTAATTTTATTTATTAGAGAACAGAAAGCCTGCGGCACACACACTCATCTGTGAAAACGTGGAAATACTTCACACTGGAGCCTTAGTCTTCTGTATTTTGTGGAGAATTGGGTTTATGTTGTGTAGTGTGATGTAGAAAGTATTTCTTACCTTATCCCTGATCTCCTGTCTCATCTTCTCCCTCTCCTCTTCCATCTTGCGATGCTTCTCCTTGCGACGCTCCTCGGCCTCGCGGATGGCCTCCTGCCGCTCACGTTCCGCTTCTTCTTCCTTCTCCTTATCATCGCTGTCATCACCATCACCGCCAACCGCACCTACAGAATGATACCAAAGTTAGTAAGTGCTATATATACCAGCTGGCGCCCGCGACTCCCTATGCTCTATGCCAAACTTCAACAAAATCCGTGCAGCCGTTTAGAGATACCTTTTGACAAACATCTATCCATCTAAACATTCTCATTTATATTAGGGGTTCCTTCCTTTAAATTCCAGGAGTAACTTGCAATAGATAGTAAAGTGACTATTCTGATTTGATCTATTAATTTTGTCTAAATTGTTATATAATACATGGAAGGATTCATATTTTTTTTAAACATAATAGGTATTTACACCATCAATCACTAAGCCCCAAAATATAAAAAATACAAGCACCCTAAATGACGAAATTGTTTTTTCAGTCGCTGTTCGAGCGTGAAAGATTTTTTGTGGTAACTTTTTTCGATGACAATAACGCGTTGTTGAAAATTGGTCGCGTCCACACACAGAATAAAAATGCGCATTTTTTAAATGTACATGAAAAGTCGGAGTGGAAATTCGACACAAAAAACAGACAAAGCATGTAAACGAAACTGTATCGCTAATATTTTTAACGATTTAGTGAGTACGGAAATATTTTTTAACATAACTTTCACCATACTGTTGTTAGCTTAATGAAAATGTTTTTAAAGTTTTAAAATTTGCCGAAAAAAAAATTAAACTTAGTACCTAAAGGATTCTTTTCATTGAAATAAAATCATGGGCTACCCGTAACCCTAAAACCGAATTCATTTTATTCGAAATTAGATAACGGTCTGCCCTAAACCGGTTCACAGTGGTCCAAACCGGTTCACGCCGGCTCCGTCCGACCGCGACATCCAACATGGCGGAGGAGGCTATTCAAAAATCCATTACACGTCAATCTGAGCATCCGTCGTGTCGTGTCGGCCGCACGCGCCATCTTTTCCTATTTGCTTTTTAAATGGAAAGGATTATTTACTATTTAGATTGTTGATCACTGGTGTGGAAATTGCGCCATTTTATGTTACGATTTTAGAATTTTAATGTTACATTACTTTACAATTTAAAAGCGCTACGAAATTATTTATACCGTCAAAGTTGTTTACGTGTAAAAATGGCAATGATATAAGAGTTTCGTTTTGAAAGTACTAGATGGCGTTGCTCTTTATAAATTCATGCAAGCGTTCTGTTCTATTGTTGTGATGTGTTTGCGACTAACGCTGATTAAATGACTGCATCCATCCGACCTTCTTTGCTTTATTAATACGGTTCTCGTGTCTTTTTAGTATCTTGAACAGAAGGTCTATTTATAAAGGCTTAGTTATATAGTAAATGTGTTTATTCTTTGGTAAATCATGTATTCCAATTAGATAGCTCTTTTTGTTCGTGGTTAAAAAGAAAACTTTTTCAAACATTCGTTTTATTGAGATCTCTTGAGGTTTCCTAGTTTACTGAGTATCTCAAAGTGAATCGTTGATATGAAGCAGACATTTTCGTTACTATGCGGATCAGTATCGTAGTTTTACAAGTTCGTTTTGACAGCGAGTGTGCTTGAAAAATGTTCAGAATTGTTTCCGATCGCGTTCGAAATTGAAGAGTTTGTTATTTCAATATGCAATCAAACACGAAACGTTAATTAAAAACTATTATTATAACTTAACGAAGCGTTAATAAAATAAACTGCATAACTGTCGACACAGTTTTAAATAAATTATTACCTATTATATTTAATTGTTATGTATTTTATTTATTAAAAAACAAAAGGCTAAGTTATCATATAACATTCGTGACCAATCCTATATTAACATCCACGGAAAACAAAAGAGTTGCATATAAAATTCAGTTTTAGAACAACTTTAAAACAATCACATAACAATCGTCATTAGCCAGTATTAGATTATGTGGTAGTCAGTGCCCCCCCCACAGAGGAGGTGACACCCCTGGCACCCGAGCCGCGGCTAGATTAAACGAATTCCACGCGAGCGTGTCTGTCAATTGAATTTATTATGCCAACCTCCTCAATAACCTATCTTATTAAGAAAAAGGCGGTCGCGCTCTCTCCAATTAATTGATCGTCATTCAGTCGTGCCTCTGACAGGAACATAATTTTCCATCTCGCTTTTCAATAAACTTGCGGCTCTCTTCGTTGAGTAGTTTTTTATACGGCGTTTTCTTTAATTAAAAAATAGGGTTGTCTTCTTTTTACTTTGGACTCCGGGAACACATACATCAGTCCAAATTATTTCGTATTTGACATCTGTCTTCTTTATAGTCGTGGTATAGCACCGGACGGCTATTCATTCAGTAGACATGCTGCTATACACTCTACCACTGTTAAAGTTCAATATTTTAGAATTTTTAGTCTTCATTTGTTTTACAAATAAAAAGATATGATAAGCGTATTTGTTTTTAATAAATCGTGATTTATTTTTTAAAAATTCGATACCAAGTTCAGTATAGAGTTTTGTTTAAAATCATCATTGACATGTTTTAAAATGACATGTAGAACGTGACATGACTTTGGGATAACCGTTATCCGATATCCGATACAGTGACATCCCTAATTTGAAATATCCGAACGGCGCCTGAATATTCATGACCGGATTTAAATAATAATGATCGAGTTTGGTATTTACTTTGTTCAGAGCAGAGCCGGTATGTTAATAAACCCTTGTGATATTTAAAAGAGTCGACAAAAATGAGAAACTAAGAAAGTAGCTCGAGTTTTTTGTATTTGCATTTTGTATTCAGCGCTTGGGATGGTTTTAATATTAGTTCCTTTATTTATATATTGAATAAAAAATTTATTCAATAAATATTAAGTTATAATTTTTTTAATTCGAGATTTGAGAAAAAATTGCTTTAGCATACGCGAGTGTTTTATCAAGTAGTTTTTCCATGAATAATTTTCCACTCATCTAAACTTTCTTAACATAAAATACACTTATCATATTCAAGTTTCGTCCAATGTTAAGTTGTGATAACTTGAAGTAAGTTCACGCGTCATTTAAGTTGCTTGTGGCATAGCGGAGGCTCTATTCCATTAGCACCGCCGCGTCGCACTAATAAGGCTTCCACGGTCCTAATTGAATTGCTAACCTAGACTAGAGCCGGGGCGAGACCTAACTTCGTGTCAACTCGAAGTCACACTGATTTCATTACCGCCTTACAAAACGTTTTAACTTCATTCACTTGAGACTGCTTTTAAGATGTGTTGATGGAAAGTTTAAGTTTTTGTTATTAGTTAAAATAGGTAAAAGTATTATAATCATTTAAAACGATAGCTTATATTAAGTTTCCAAAAATTTATGAATAAAACAATCGTTTGAAATATCAAATTACCTCCATTGTCTTTTACTCACTACTAAAAACAAATGACGTAAGCATTTTGACATTTCCGTAAGTTATCAATAAAAATCTCTCAACGTCCCTCCTTTATAGCATTAACAGTTTTATTGCCATTACTTAGAGAGGGTCTGCCTCTCCCCTCCTCCTGCCCCGCGCAGTGCCCCCTCCCCCGATGTAATATATTGTCAACACCAATACACAATAGTGCCTTCGTGAAATTATTATCCCCTGAATGGAATACGTGATGCGACGCCTAATGTTATATTTGACGTTATTACGAACACGTCGGAGCGACTTAAGTTTTATTTACTTGATTGTACTTTATTTCTATTGCGTATAATTTTACGAATCAGCAAAAGATATATAGTCATTTATACATAATAGAATTAGGGCTTTCTAGTAAGAAAAATAATGTAATACGAAATGCTATAAATATGAGTAGTTTTTTGTTTAAACTAAGCATTCCAAATAAGCTTGTGTTTTATTATGACTCGTGTCAATAATAGAATGATGGAAATAAAATCTACAACAGTAAAATTGACAATCGTCAACCTCTAGATTATTGATACTTTTTAAATGTAAAATATCGTAGATGTTTATGATTCAATGATGTCATGTTCATTTAAAATCATAATGTTTGTTTATCATATTACTTAGCATTAAGACGAGCTGTAGGATGGGGATGGAGGGTTGGTCATCGTAAACCGATCGCTTACGACCCCCCGGCAACACCCCAACACAAACAAACTCATAAAAGTTATTCGCCCTCATCACCTTGTCAATATTCATAACAATATTATAATATTACGAGATGTTTACCGCCATATTAATTCACATTGTGTTTGGTTAAAGCTGTAGGTCATACGTAGAGGGTCTACGAAAATTTGTAGATCAAAGAACATATTTTTTAAAGGATTGGTTTCTCGCTGTTATTCTTATGCCACCTATAGCTACGAAGCATAAGAATTGAGTGTCATTGCTATTTAAACTGTAGATAATAAGGGAATATACTATACATATCAGCCAAAAACTTAAGTCCCCTTTCAAAGTACAATGATTTTAATGTAGACATTAAGTTTTTATGGTTTTGAATATATTATAGTTGAAATTAATTCAAGACGTTAAAGTTAATCTTTATTTATTAACGAGTGTTGTAAATATTTTACTTTAATGCATTAAGTTGACAATAATAATTCTTCATAAATATCATTAATGTGTACAAATGCGCTGATGTTACGTGAGTTCATTGTGAGCTCGCAAAGTCAAGTTGAAACGACTGGACAAATATTAATTGAATTTTCATCGGAAAAACGATTTCATTTCAATTCCAATCGAGTCATCGAGCTCACGTTATTGAATTTTTGGGACAAAAATAAAACAAACACACGATATTAAATCTTTAATATGAGACCACGGAATTTTGAAATAATAAAGTCCTGTTATTTAATAACAATATTATTTATACGGATCGTGGTGCAGACATATTATTCGTAGAGATGTATTGAGTGTTTTAAAGGCGAGGAAGGTCGAACAACGTAAGATTAGATTGTGTGAAAGAGGATATGCGTAAGAAGGTACTGGACTCAGATATGACGCCTAAAAGACATGTATGGAAGAGTATTGCTGCAGTACTAAATTTTTAGTGCAATACAGTACTGTGGGCCAAAGCCCATATTTCTTACAAGCGCCA